GGGGGTTAGGATTCAATATACACATTCTAAGAGGAACACAAGCATTCAGCTCATAGCAAACAGCTAAGTCACCACTGACTTTGCCCCTTAGACAACTGAGTGAGTGTGTGTTGGGTGAAGGGCCAGCATTTCTTAGAGAAAGAGGAGCCCCCAACAAGGAAACATGCCATCTCTGTTGAGCCCACTGGAAAAGTTTCTTTGGGATGCCTTAACAGAGAATCATAAACTTGGCTTAAAACAACAGAAATGTATCCTCTCACAGTTCTTGAGGCCAGAAGTTCATAATCAAGGTGTCAGTAGAGTTGTGCTTCCTCCCAAGGCCCAAGAGGAGAATTGTTCCTTGTCTCTTCCAGCTTCTAGTGGCTCCAACCATCCTTGGCTTGTGGCTACCTCACTTCAATCTCTACCTCCATCTTCACATGGCTTTCTCCTCTCTATCTGCTCTTCTGTCTCTTATAGGGACATTTGTTACTGGATTCAGGGCCAACCTATTAACCTAAGATGACCTTATCTCAAGGTCCTTAACTTTTTCCAAATAAGGTCACATCTGCAACTATTGGGGGTTAGGACTTGGCTGTATCTTTGTGGGAGCCACCATTCAACCCACTACACACCAATGGAATCAGGACTTCAGACACTCACATGATGTGTCCTAACTGTTGGTTCAAAAACTGTGCAGATTATAGTCGCAGGAGAAGTGAAAATTCCCTGAGACACTGTACCTCTGTTACTATGGCGGTAATTTCCCTGACTTTTACCTTCTTTTAATGTGTAGCATTTACACCAGACCCAGGGAAAACCACTGAAGAGATTGTGCTGTTTTGAATTGTAGATAAACATTTTGTTTCCTTGTTGGTTGGCTGATGGTTAGGATGTAGGTGGGAGAATGCCATGGGTTGGGAAGGTCGGTGCAATCCTGAGAAAAACCTTTTCTTCACTTTGCACCCAAAGGCCATTGTTTGTAGAGATGTCCTCTATGCTGGAACTGTTTTTATCTTCTTGTTTTGTTCTTTCGTTTTGTTTTTGTTTTTGTTTTCCTCTTAGAAAGTAAGACTGAGAATCTATGATCTACTGAGAGAATTTTTTGTAAATCAGAAACTTGGCATGTCAGTACCTAACCTTGCAGCCCACCTTTGTGAGAGAAGAATTGCAGCTGCCACTTGTAATTGAATTTCAGAGAAATTTCAATAGATCGACAATCAGGTGGACTGTAATATAATGCTATTGTTTTATTATCAGTGTGTAAGCTGTTCATGCTAATTTGACTTTCTGCCAAAGACTTGTGGACAGTAGTAATTGCCAGTAGGAGCAACTTCATCTGATGTTCAGGAAAAGAAAGCTAAGAGGAATTCTGCTGGAGGAAGTGTCAGTTGAATGCACTCTGTAGAGAGCACAAAGCCTAAAGCCCCTCCCTGGTCACCGCTGCTGCCCATGCTGTGCTGAGTTCTGCGGCATTAAGTGTGTCCACAATGTTGTGGAACCATCACCATCATCCATCCCCAGAACTTTTTCATCTTCTTCAACTGAAGCTTCAGACTCATTAAACACGGCTTCTCTACTCCTCCTCGCTCAGGCCCCTGGCACCCGTCATTCCACCTCTGGTCTGGGAATTTCACTATTCTAGGTACCTCATCTAAGTAAAATTATGCTATATTTGTCTTTTGTAAAAAACTCATTTCACTTAGCATAATGTCCTCAGGATTCATCCATATTGTATGTAGCATATGTCTGAATTTTTATTCTTTTTAAGGCTGAATAACATTCTCTTTTATGGTTATGTCATATTTTGTTTATTCATCCATCAATGAATATTTGGACTGTTTCTACCTTTTAGCTATTGTGAATAGTGCTGCTATGAATATGGGTGCAGAAATCTATTCAAGATACAGCTTTCGGTTCTTTTGGGCATATACCCAGAATAGGACTTGCTGGATCATATGGCAATTCTGCATTTAATTTTTTTTGAGAATTCAGCATGCCATTTCCCACAGTGGCTACATCATTTTTTATTCCCACAAGCATTTCACAAGAGTTCTAATTTCCCCACATCCTTGCCAACACTAGTTATTTTCTGTTTTCTGTTTATTTGTTAGTAATGACCACCCTAATGGGTGGAAACCCATTTGGATTTTTAAATGAATTGTGTTTTCAGAAAAGTTTTTTCATATGTTTCTTGTGTGCATTTTGTTTGTCTCTTGACTTCGATCTTTCTGTTATTCCTCAGCGTTTCCTTAGCTCCTGACATCTTGCTTCAAATGTCTAGGAACTCTCCCTATGGCCCTCCTCTCTTTGGAATGAGAAGTTCAGATCCCTTACACTCTCTTATTCTTCTTGATTTGGGATTTTTGGTCATTTTTTTCTCTATATGGCTCTGAACAGTATTCCTAAGGTTGGACACAACACAAAACAAAACAGCAGAGAGAGAGAGAGAAAGAAAGAAATAGAGAGAACACAAATGCTCTACTCCACCCCTGAGAGAGGAAGGGCGCCTGGATGCAGACGGATTAAGCATAGTTGATTCTCAGTGGCTTCCAGTCAGTCCTCCTAGAAGAGGAGGGGAGCAGTGTGGTTTCTTAACTATTTTTTAGCTGCTTTCTGATGAACTTTTCTTCATGGGAGGACATTTCAAGGTTTCCCTGAGTAGAAATTTTCTCTTTCTGTGCTTTGCATAGCCACTGGTAAACTGAAATCCCTAAAAAAGTAAATATTTTTAAATGTGGAAACACCGCTTACAACCAAGTGAATAACATTTGGCTAACGAAGAGCATGGAACTATCAGATGGAATTAGGGCCACGTGCACACAGTACAAAAGCTCCAGATGCTCGTATTAATTCAGTTACATTGGAGTCAAAGAATCAGTGGAGCTGGTCCTTTGGACCAACTGGTCATGTAAATACAGATGGCCAACACATGCCCAGCTTGACTCGTTGGTCAAACAGAGTAGAGATTTATTGACGTATACGGGAATATTCTTTTCCTATTGAAGGATGGCTGTGTGTTGTACTTATTTCTAAAATTATTAGTATTATGAATGACACATTCATGAAGCACCTGCCCTGTGTTAGGAAGAGACAGAATAAAGAACTGCACCCGTGATCTCAGAACAGTGTCTTCTAGGACATGACGTAAAGGAACTTACTGATTTCATGTCACAGCAACTTAAGTTATGGCTTAAGTCAGTGGTTGGCAGACGTTTTCTGAAAAGGTCAGAGAGTAAATATTTTAGGCTTTGTGAACCATATACTCTCAGTTGCAACTACTGAACTCTGTATCTGGAAAGCTGCTATAGCCATATGTAAACAAATGAGCATGGCTGTGTTCCTAAAACTTTATTCATGGGCACTGAAATTTGAATTTCCTACCATTTTTTACCTGTCACAAAATGCGATCCTTCTCGTGAGTTTTTTTTTCAACCATTTTAAAATGTAAAAACCATTCTTAGCTCCAGGGCTGTACAAAAAGATTTGGCCCATAGATTTCAATTTACAAAACCCTTGGAAGTCATAGCTTCCAAGAATGTTTCTTTTTGATGCTCAGATTTTTGTATGTGTAGGAAAACTTGGATGCAAGCAAAATAAAAAGTATGTTCTAGCAAGTCGTTTACGAAGATTTGAATTTATGAGATGAAAACAAATATTTCCGGCTGCATGCCTCAGTGTAATTTGCTTTGCTGATTTAACATCTTCCTGAAGGCAGAATTTTAGGTAGTAAAGTTAATCTGCCAAGTAGGAAAGGAAGATGGAAGTTTAAAAACTCTAGCACTGCCTATGAAATCTTAAATCCTGCATTCATGCTATTTGCATGTTCATTTCCTCTTTTACAAAATGCTCCTGGGATTCTTATGGTTTCATTGTTAGTGAAAATTGTTTCTTTTTTTTCCTCTTCACAACCCTGTATTATAAATTCTCAAAACCTGGCACTTCATGGCACATTCCTTTTGAACATCTCTAATTCTACAATTTTATACACCCCCTTATTTTCCAAATTTAATTAGTTTCCAGAAGTTCTGCAGAGAAAATGAGCCATAATAATTCTTGATTGTTTCCACTTATCTTCTTATAATTTGATACAAGAGGATTTTACTGCATTTTAAAGTAGTTTTAATTTGAAAAAGATGGTCTTCTCCAAGTTTAACTTCATACAGTAGTAATAATTTAACTACTATTTCCTAGTTGTAGAAGTATTTTTCTATCTAAAAAATTGCTTTTCCCAAATTATTATACTACCATTGTGTTAGTCTGTTTTTACACTGCTAAGAGGGCATACTCAAGATTGGGTAATTTATAAAGAAAAGAGGTTTAGTTGGCTCACAGTTCTGCATGGCATGGGAGGCCTCAGTAAACTTACAATGGTGGCAGAAGGGAAAGAGACATGTCTTACATGGCTGCAGACGAGAGAGAGAAATGCATGAGAATTCAAGAAAAACTACCATCTAGAAAACCATGAGATCCCATGAGAATTAACTCACTATCATGAGGACAACATGGGAGAAACTTCCCCCATTATCCAGTCATTTCCCACAAGGTCTTTCCCTAAACACCTGGAGATTACAATTCAAGATGAGATTTGGGTAGGGATACAAAGTCTAACCATATCATCCATGATAATAATTTAACTACTTCATGGTTCTAGAAACACGTAGAACATTGAAGTTCTAAGTTACCATTGACTAGACCAATGCCAGAAATTTCATACCCTTTAACCTCTCAGTATAAACCAATTCTTGACAATCTGGTCTTTACATTCACAAAATATGGCCTAGCAAGACTTCCTATTATGTTTCCTACTCTACCAAAACATTCAATAACAGCCTCTAGTAAATTGTAGAATTAAAATATTTTCATTGTTCCCCACTATACTAACTATGGAATCTCCTCCACTGGGCGATAAAGATGCATTTGGTTTTTAGTGCCTCAAGCATAGTAGGCTCTCAAGAAAATTCACCTCCCCAGTTTGCCCTTTGCAAGTTTCCTCTATAAGTCATGAAACAAAAGAGCTTGAAGAGACATTGCTCATTTAGTATAATTTCTTATTTTAAAGAAGACAAAACTGGCAATCAGAGATGTTAGGCTCCCACTGTGAGTGATTTACAGAGTCAAGATGAGGAGAATCCAGTTCTGCCGATTCACTGCAGTGTGGCGTCCTGCCCATGATCCACTTGTTCTTGGGGCACTGTCATGATTCCTTGTTTCTATCTTAGAAGTGAAGGAGGTGTCCTATAAAGGCTTTCCTGTTCTTAGTTCACTCTTCTGAATATATAATGTAAAACAACTAACAATGAACAAAGCAGAAAAGACGAAGGGAACATAAGAGAGTCCAGATAATCCAGGATCTGTACAAACCACTCTTTCATACAATCAGGAACTGGTCATGGTGGCATAAGTAATAACTAGCATAAATGTAAAATAATGAATAAAGACCACATGTTTGCCTTTCTTCAGGTTGGCAGAACATATATATGTTACCAGAATTTCCTATGCTTTAGAGTTTCTCTCTAAAACCCTCTAGAACTTAATGAAACTCAATGGAAGACTGAAGCCATTAGCCATTGTTTTGTTGGAAAATTTTTGTTTCTGTATATTTCTGTGTGCATGAAAAATACACACCTGTATTGATTTGCTAAAATTTCTGTAATAAATCACCGTGCTCTGAGTGGCTTAAACACAAAAATGTATTGTCTCACACTTCTGAGGGCTGGGGGTTCAAGATAAAGGCGTTGACAGGGTTGGTTTCTTCTGAAAGCTGTTAGGGAGAATCAGTTCCAGGCCCCTCCCCTAGCTTCTGGTGTTTGCTGGCAATCTTTGGCTTTCCTTGGCTTACAGAAGCATCTTCCAATCTCTGCCTTTATATTTATGTGCCCTTCTTCCTGTGTCTTTGTCAAAGTGTCCTTTTCTTATAAAGCCACCAGTCATGTTGATTTAGGGGCCCGCTCAACTCCAGGATGACCTCATCTTAACTAATTACATCTGCAATGACTGTATTTCTCGCTCTCTCTTGCTTTTGCTTTTTTTGAAATGGAGCCTCGCTCTGTCTCCCAGCCTGAAGTACAGTGGTGCGATCTCAGCCCACTACAACCTCTGCCTCCTAGGTTCAAGCAATTCTTCTCCCACAGCCTCCTGAGTAACTGGGACTATATGTGTGTGCCACCATGCCCAGCTAATTTTTTGTATTTTTAGTAGATACAGGGTTTCACCATATTAGCCAGGATGGTCTTGATCTCCTGACCTCATGATCCACCTGCCTCAGCCTCCCAAAGTGCTGGGATTATAGGCATGAGCCATCACGCCTGGTCCTGCAATGACTCTATTTCCAAACAAGGTTATATCCTGACGTACTGGGAATTAAAACTTCAACCTATGAATTTTGGGGGACACAGTTCAACCCACAGCAACACCCTTGACTGAGATACTGCAAAAAAATAAGACAACTATTTTGTTCACTGTAAAGTTTCATATAGACACTTCTTGAGCTGAAAAATTTTTGATAACAGTTCATATGTTTGGACACTGAAGGGCAGTATAACACTACAAATAATTGCAAAAAGACGTTTATGACTTGATTGCTTTAGAAATTACATGATGATGATTTTGTTTAAATGAATTTATAACTATGGCTATCATGTATGGTGATTTTAACCTTATTTTTATCTGATTACACTTAATATTGAAGTCAGACTTAAAACTTGTGGATAACACATTGAAGTTTGTCTAAATCAGAAACAAGGAGAAAACTTCAATTTTGAGATTTGCATTGAATGGCTATGCCTTTTTTGTGATTTTAAACCTTTAAATTGCTGTTCATTATGGTAGTTCATGCTTAGATCTCATTTCCTTTAGCATTAAGGAAGCTATGATTGGCGTGGACAAACGTTTCAGCCTCAAGGGAATTTTCAATCATCTGCTTGTCAGGTACTTGAAAAGAATATTATTTCATGGGATGCAAGGGGAAAGTTTATCTTAATTTAGTTAGTGCACCGTATTCTTCACATATAAAAGAAAAATGGATAATATACAGCAGGAAAGAAAATATGGTTTTCATGTAATTTGGTCAGTGCTGATTACAGTTCTAATAATGCGTTATGGTTGTCTGAATCCAACAGCTGTTAGACAGAATAATTTTCAGTGTAAAACCGGTACAAGGAAAGGACAGGCTGGAAACCACTGATTTATTTTGCTCTCTGTTCCTGGATAGTTGACCCTGAGAGTAATCTTGGAAGTTTATGTTTCACCAACATTAACTTACGGGCTATATTGCTATTATTTGCTTTTTTCAGGACATTTGGGGGCCTGACATGCCTATGCATGATCTTATCAAATTCTTTCAATCATCCTGGGAGGCGGATGCAATATTATCCTCATTCTTTCTGTGAAGAAATGTGTTGAATAGGTGACCCAAGTCTCCCATTCATGGAACTGACTTTTAAACTTGAGTTTCTCTGACTCTGGAGACTATGCTCAAAACCTCTATTATATGCTGTTCTATATTGCTGCATTGTTTAAAGTGAATTGGAACATAAAAATACGTAAACATGAGCATGTTCTCATCCAAATAACAAAAGCATCTTCCTGTGCTGGGTAGAGGTTCTGTACATAAATGGACTGGACCACGAGGGACATTCAGAGCCAATTATGACATCGTGAGAGAAGGCCATCAGTAATATGAGATAAGCTTGTGGAAGGAGAAAATAATCACGTCAACTCATTCCTGGTTTGTGAGAAATGTAATAAATAAAAATACACCATTAGAAATGATTTTTGGGCCAGGCACGGTGGCTCACGCCTGTAATCCCAGCACTTTGGGAGGCCAAGGCGGGTGGATCACAAGGTCAAGAGATCGAGACATCCTGGTCAACATGGTGAAACCCCGTCTCTACTAAAAATACAAAAAATTAGCTGGGCATGGTGGCACGTGCCTATAATCCCAGCTACTCAGGAGGCTGAGGCAGGCGAATTGCCTGATACCAGGAGGCGGAGGTTGCAGTGAGCCGAGATCGCACCATTGCACTCCAGCCTGGGTAACAAAAGCAAAACTCGGTCTCCAAAAAAAAAAAAAAATAACTATTTGTGAAAAGCTCTGATGTTTTTGGCCAGGCATGGTGGCTCATGCCTTTAATCCGAGCACTTTGAGAGGCTGAGGCAGGAGGATTGGCTTGAGTCCAGGAGTTCAAGACCAGCCTGGGCAACATAGTGAGACCCCATGTCTACAAAAAAATTTAACAGTTAACCAGGTATAGTGATGAGTGCCTGTAGTCAGATTTTGGGGAGACTGAGGCAGAGGATTGCTTGAGCCCAGGAGGTTGAGGTTACAGTGAGGTGTGATCCCACCATTGCACTCCAGCCTGGGCAACAGAGACCCTGCCTCTAAAACAAGTAAGTAAACAAACAAATAAAAGCTCTGATTTTTATCCTTTCACTCTGATGTCTTAAACCCATTTCCCCAGATAGCTGAGTTTTATTTACTCTGCTTCCTTCCAGCTAAAGCTAACATTTTTAATAGTTTTTAATGGCCCTGGTGATTTTTTTCACATTTGAGCCGAGAAGATGTGGCCAAGAGGAAAATGACTGCACATGGTAGATTTTTATTTTTAGAGAGCGATCATTCATTTTTAAGGTGAAGTTGGTAGCTTTTAAAACCATGATTTGCCCTTGCAGCCAGAGATTAAGGGGTGAGAAAGGGAAGTAGAAGGAGCTTCTTGGCTTTGTTGGAGGGATTTAGTTTTCTTCCACCTCTACTGGGCTGGTAACATTTGCTCTAAAATTTCCTGTTGTAAATTCTCCACTTTATTTCTCTCCTCTTCTCTCCAGGAATAAGTCATGATAATCAAGCATAGGAAAAGAGAGGAAAGAGACAGGAAACAATCTGTTGACTAACACAACCCTTTCCCAGGACAGGAATGTAAGCACATGTAGATGCATCCATGTACACGTGCGCATAAACATGTACACATAAGTGCACACACACACATAAGACTTGCTGTGTTGGTATTTTCATGAGCTCTAATTTCTAGGAGTGGTTGGTCTTGACTGTGCCCTACCCTGCCTTTGGAAATTACAAGAGCTAGAGTCTATCCGGAAGCTTGGTAGTCTCTCCTGAGATCACAGATACAGCCAAGAGTACTGTGCATATTAACCATGTGCTCTGTGCATATTAACCATGGCTGCTGGAATTCTCTCCTGGAGACTACAAACTGCCTGCCCACGGGTTGAATCCAGGACATGGACATGTCTCATTTGCAATACACAGTGTTTCTTATAAAACATGATTTTATTGCCAACTTTTTAAAAATCAGGGGCTTTCAAATGAAAATCTGATTTCACTTTCTCATAAGAAATTAATGAATCTGGCCTACTTTCCTGCATGACAAGTGTTGAGCTGCCCCATTTATGGGTGGGAGATGTTCCAGGTCAGTGCAGTCCCCATCAGTTTCCTATTGTCTGCCTGTGTTCGTGGCCATTGATCGCTCTGTTTGCATAGTGTTTTATTATGCCTGGCCCACTTCACTGTGTATGTTACCTGCCAGGTCTCTGTAGGCTTTTGAAGTCATGATGCTTTATGCCTTGGTTCATGCATCGTGACGAGATGGAAACCAGCCCTATGTTACTCACTCAACTCCAGATTTAGATAAAAAAGATTTAATTATAGTTGCTCTAATATACATAATATACAATGAAGACAAAGAGGAAATGTTGACATAAGGTATTTTCGTCACCATATATAATTTTTAAAAGACCATTAAGAATATCTCGAAGTTTGTATTCATAGTTGTGTGCCCACATCAGAATTTATTTATGAAAACATAATGGCTTGAAACCAAGCCTTCACTTTGAACTGTAATTTTTTTAAATCTTACTATTGCCATCTTTCTCTCAACCTTTCATTAGCTGTGTTTAGATCTTAATACAATTATGTAAAAACAGTATTATTATTCAAACAATTCCAGAGAATGTTTCCATTTATAATTTTAAGAGCTCACTTGCTCTCAAATATATTTTTTGGAGAGCAAATACTTTCCTCCAATATTTTTTAAGCCATGTAAATATGTTTAGTAGCTGCATTTAAGTATGGGCAAAAAAAAATAAATTCATTCCTAAAATAATTTTAGAATTCTAGGTTGCCTTTGTACTGAATATTACCAGGATGATTATTATCAATTAGAAGTGGTTAAGCACTCAGTGAACAGAACACAGACTAGTATGCTGCACAGAACACCCAAGAGACAAAAGGCTCTGTCCTCAGCTCATTTAGAACAAAATCCAAAGTTTTGTAGGGGCTCCCGTTATGGAGATAGTGGTGTTGATGGTAATGATGGTGATAGTGGTGTTAATGGTGGTAGTGGTGGTGGTGGTAGTTATGCTGAGGTTGGTAGTATGGTTGTGGTGATGGTGATGGTAGTGATGGTATGTGATGGTGATGGTGGTGGTTGTGATGGTTATAGTGTTAATGGTGGTGATGGTTATAGTGGTGGCGGTGGTAGTTATAGTGGTGATGGTGATGGTTATAGTGATGTAGTGGTGGTAGTGATGGCTATTGTAGTGGTGCTGGTGGTAGTGGTGTTATAGGGGCAATGGCAATGATAGTGAAAGTAGCGGTAGTGGTGGTGGTGGTTATAGCAGTGATGGTGGTGATGGTTGTAGTAGTTGGTGGTGGTAGTACTGATGGTAGTTATAGTGGGGATGTTGGTGATAGTTATAATGGTGGTGGTGATGGTGAGGCTCATAATCATTTTGGAAATGTTAGCTTTATGGGATTGTTGTTGTTTGAAAAACATCCTTTGCTTAAGCAGACTCATTTGCACTGTATAAAAATGCCTTTTAATCTCAAGCTATATTGCAGAGAAGTAGATTCAAAATAGAAATGTTTAAAGCAACAAACTCCATGCTTTAATGTCAAGAGACCTTTATAAATGTTCCTGGAAAAAGCATACTTCCATGACTTAGGGACTATTATTTTTCACACTCTCAGGCAGCAAGCCAGTGCACAAGAACATACCAGGCAAAGGGATTTACTTTTATGTTTTCAGCTCTCAAATATATGCCAATACTTTTGATACTTACAATTTTCTTTCAAAACTTTTTAAAAATCTGATTTTACCAAACAGTCCTTGTGAGGAATCAATGTAACATCATGTTTCAAGTCTCTCTTAGGGCCTCACGCCTCATGGGTCTTAGCACTCGTCCTGGGCTCCTTCTAAAAAACGTCAAGAGGGAAACTCATAGCACCAGAATGCATTTATGTGCATGTTGAATAAGGGTCAGCAAAATCATAAGAGAGCAATGAGTTGCTTTAAAAACATTTTTAAGTCCTGACTCTATCTGAGGATGTTGCCTGACACAGATTTTGTGGGTTGGGTGTGGTTCTCTGGGTTTGAAGCCTGACTTTTGTAACTTTGTCTGCATGCCAAGACTTCTGTAAAGCACCTTACACTCACTGATTAGTGACTCTGTTCCTTCACTCTGAGTTTATTTTGCCCCAAACCTATTCTATTAATGGTGTTTTGTAGGCTTATGTACTTCTTTAGTAGGAGAACCTCAGAGCATCATTTCTTTGCTCTTCATCTTGGCTTTTATAAATAGTAACCACCCTAACAAAGAACATACAGTAAACTCATAAAAGAATAAACATTTGAAAATCCTTTTTAACAGTATAATTATTTTCAAAGTTTTTAATGGTTGTTTGTAGATCAAAAGTTGAATGGACTGAATCCAGGCCAGAGGAGCATTTGTATGGGTTTACATAGTACCACAGATTTAATTTTTTAATTGGGGATGTTAAATTTACAACAATTCTTTCTATTAAAATGTTTTCAGAGAAAGTAATATTGGAGCACAGTGCCTGATGCTGCTTACTTTGGACAGGGCATTTATGATCCAGTTTGCCTCTGATGGTTTTTTTTTTCTTTTGGCCGAGCCTTCACTCGTCCATATTCCCTGCCTATCCCTGGTTGGTCCCGTGTTTATGACTCCTGCTATGAACACTTCTTGGCATTGGTGATGAGAACTTGAAGTATTCCTCAGAATGACTTGAAGATAGCATTATGTCCAATATCACTCCCCAAGCATTACACAGACGACCAACCATATGCTCGGTGCCACATTTTACCCTTTAAGGATTTCCAAAAGATTCTGTATTATGTGGCTTCGTGTTTCTCTTAATAGTTTTCTTTCTTCTTTTTCCAGTTATCATAGTAAGATGTTTCTGCCTAATTAGAAACCATGCCACAATCTCAACTACCTACTTGCATGAATCTTTTGGGAGATCCTCTCAGCAGTAGAATATAAGTTTAATCTTTTTCTATCCCAGAAGATGATGAATTCAATCAGACGGTTCAGATAAGCCAATTTCCTGGGCTTGGCCACCCTTAATCTTGAACACTCATTGTAAGGTAATTGATTTAGGTTAGCTTCTGGGTTCAGACCAGAGATTATTTGTACCCTCTCCAAAGAAACTACTGTGTTACAGTTTTCATTTTCTTGGACTATCCTTTAATTCCTTAAGTGAAAGGCAGGCAAGTAGGTAAGCTATTCTAAAAAGGAGATACACAACAGTAAAAGATGTCTTAGTAGGAGAAGCCAAACAGAGTAATAGGACTGATGTGGTAACTTGGCAAAAGACCAGGATTGGAAACCTTCTGAGTAATCGCTATTCTTCATGCCTCTCTTTCCCAGCTATTTTAAGAGTTTAGTGTTCTATTCTTAAATAATAGCCCAAAATCCCTCAGAATGATATTTAACACAGAGACCTACCTACTATGCCTTACTAACATCAGCACTGACAGCAGTAGCTGCTCAGCCCTGGTGTTCTCTACAAGCCAGGCAAGGTACTGATTACATACATTATCTCATTGAATCCTCACGAAACACTACAGGGTGAGCATTGGTAGCTCCATTTTACATATGAGGAAACTGAGGCTTGAAGATGTTAAACAGATGTCCAGGGTCACACATCTATCAGGTGGCCAAGCCAAGATACTTAGTCAGTATTTGTTACTAGAAGGTCATTTTACACTTTGCTTTGGTCTGAACGTTTGTATCCCCCAAAATGCCTACATGTTGAAATCCTAACCTCCAAGGCGATGTATTAGGAGGCGGACCTTTGGGAGGTGATTAGGTCCATTAGGTCACGAGGGCATCATCCCCATGAATAGAATCAGGGCTCTTATTAGAAGTCCCAGGAGGTCCCTTGTCCCTTCTACCTCGTGAGGCTACAGTGAGAAAGCAGGCCCTTACCAGACACCAGATCATCTGGTGCCTTTATCTTGAACTTCCAGCCTCCAGGCTGTGAGACATAAATACCAGCTGTTCATGAACCATCCAGTCTATGATATTGTTGTTATAGCAGTCTGAATGGACTAAGAGACACATTTTACAAAACAGAACGGGCTCACACCTGTAATCCCAGCACTTTGGGAGGTCATGGCAGGCAGATCACCTGAGGTCAGGAGTTCAAGACCAGCCTGATCCACATGGAGAAACCCCTTTCTCTCCTAAAAATACAAAATTAGCCGGGTGTGGTGGTGTATGCCTGTAATCCCAGCTACTCGGAAGGCCGAGGCAGGAGAATCCCTTGAACCCAGGAGGTGGAGGTCGCAGTGAGCCAAGATCGCGCCATTATACTTCAGCCTGGGCAACAAGAGAGAAACTCCACCTCAAAAAGAAAGAGAACAAAATGTTAGTATTTAGAAAAACAGGCTAGATAATAAAAGATGAATCACTTAGAATAGATTGCAGTCTGCTTAGATATGTCTGAATCCATGAAAGATGATGAACCATGCATAAAATGTGCCTTTGGGGTCAGAGAGTATGTTCAACAGCAGGCTGCAATTGCTGATGTCCATGTCAACTACAGCAGCTACGAACACATCCAAGGAGGAAACACACTTTCAATTCCGTAATTGACTTTTTCTGATTGACCAGCGAACCAAATTGCTAGCATTTCAAAGGAGAGTATTTCTTTTTTTCCATTTCTTTAAAGCATCGGCCTGTTAGTTTGAGTATTATCTCCTAGCCTATTCTGAATTTCAGCAGTATTATCCATTTTTGCAAAAAAAAAAAGTCTTAGAGCTTCATGTTTTAAACTTGTAGAGAGTACTTTGAGGATCTTTATTTTCTTCTTTCTGTTAATTATTATTACTTTACTAATTTATTTTTTATTCACATATTTTCCTCTGGCCAAGAGCCAGAGTTTCTTTAAAGAACTTTTTTTTATCAGAAGCTTCTAGCCATAAGAACTAGAGTAAAATAAATTATCACTTGCATAAATTTATCATCAAAGAGTGAAAACAAAAATTACAGGAAGGGATAGAGAATGTGTTTTTATGACAATAACATAACACATTTCTAATATTTGGCTATAAAACTAATTGTGAACATATTTTAGAACCAGAAACATATGGAATTACATGATTATAGGACAGAAAAATTCACAGTGGTTGACTTATAATATCATGTGGCATAAAAATACTCATTGCTAAGAGTGGAGAGAAGAAGCCAAGTATGGAATGAAACTGGAAGAGGAACCTCCTCGCAATTCAGTTTTGGCAGGGTGAGGAGCCCCATATGTGCCAAGTTTTAACTGAAAGCTAATTATAATGGTCACATTATGAATTGTGCAGAAAGAGGAAGGTTGTTAACTTGGCGCCTTAGATACATAGGTAACTAGGGTTTTTTGTTTTTTTTTTTTTAAGTATAAACATTCCTTTTTGGTAAGGACCATCTCATTAAAATGCTAACCCCAGAACATTTAAGCCTACCATCTTTAACTGGTATCAAGAAGTTTAAGAAATTATAAATTAAGCATTTAAAGAAAAAGAAAGTTAAAACAGAAAGAATGTGCCATACTCAAAGATTCCAATAGATGGAATGAATGTATTCATTTTTACTTCTGTGATGGTTTATGATCTTACTTAAAATATATTATTTAAAGGGGTGACAGCAAAATATTGTGGTGTCTCTGATACAATGAGAAACACCTGATAAAGACACAATGACTTCTGTGGCTTCAAATACATCCAGGGCTGCAGAGATATCCCCTGTCTTGTTTGAAGAGGGCGCTCTTGTAAAGAAAATATCCTTGCCAAGGCTCTGCTGAGAAACTGGCCCCACTCCCTGAAGTCAGCGTCACCATGGAGATCTTATTCCAGTGAGGGGGAATGGATTCCACCGTCCTGCTTTGGAAATGTGTAAATAGCAGATGCTTTTATTGCCTTTGTTTGAATATCTGCCCTTGCAGAGCAACTCAGGCCGGAAGCTCAGAGGAGAGGAAGTCCATATTTGTCTGTAGCGTTTGTTTCCTCCGTAAACAGCTTAGTCTCTCGGGATGATTGTGGGTAATGACAAGTTAATGGAAAA